CCTCCGATTGGCTACCGCGCGCTCCCAGTGACCTCGCGCAGAAGGCCGGTCCCCCAGCGGTCCAGCTCCGCTCCGCCCGCCCGGGTAGATCGGGCCTTCCTTCCTCGTGCCTTGGCGCCTCCCTATTCCCTGAGTCGTTTCCCCGACTGCGCGCGAAAAACAAAGCCATCGGCGCCGCAACCTGCTCGCCACAGGAGTAATGACACTCGGCACTCAGCTGTTCGGGACTGCCAGAGCGCCTTCGATCGCGGAGATGAGCAGGTCAGTGCTCCGCTCCACCTCACGGGAGAGAATTGGGGTCCCCTTGAGAGGGGGGATTGCCGGCTGCCAAAGGCAGATCTATTAACCCCAAGAGAGGGACACAGCCGGGTGCTGTACCTGATCCCAGGGCGCGGACGAAAGTGGAAGAAGGGAGATCGAAGTGTCCAATCCGATGCTAAAATGAGTGCAGATGAACTCTGCTGTGGTTGTGTGAGAGACTGATCTCAGGAAACACGCTGGAGTAGAGGCAAAGGCGCTGAGGTCTGGGGGGCCTCTCTGGGAAGCAGTGATACACAGGGATAATTAGATCTCGCGTGATAAAGCCAGGGGGCTACAATGTTAATACTTCGAGAGTCAGTAAAGCTATGTGGATGCTCCTTTAGCTACACTTGTGCTACTTTTGTGTCTGTTCTGGTTTAAGGGATTTTCTGGTCTGCTGGAATCCTTGCAAAAAGGTACCTTGTGTGTCTAAGAGGAGGGAAGGGAACTAACTTAATAAGATACCAGGGACCAGACTACCCTGTGCAAACGGAAGGCCTTTGCAAAGCTGGTTTTATTCTCTCATCTTTTTTTCGACCTTTATTCCTTTAAAAATTTTTTAAAAACCTTTCTTTTGAAATAGCTATGGATTCACAGGAAGTTGCAAGAATAATATCTCAGTGTCCTCCATAATGGGACTTGTTCTTATGTAACTGTAGGACAAGATTTTTTAAAAAAGAAAAATGGATAGTTAATTGTTAGATTACAGATTTTGTTTTATTTTCGTTTAAAAACCTACATTCATCATGGTGTATGTGTGTGTGTGTGTGTGTGTGTGTGTCTGGGTAATTGCACCACAGGTGTAGATTTTTATGACCATTACAATCAAAACACACAATTATTTTGTCACCACAAAACAGTTCCCTGGTGCTGTCTCTGTGTTTGTACACCCAGACCCTTCTCTGCAGTCCTGACCCTGGTAACCCCTAGCTTGGGCCCCACCCCAATGGTTTCCTATTCAGAGAAAGTGATGTAAAAGGGACTCAGACACCATACAGTTTGTAACCTTTTGGTATTGGCTTTGTAAACTAAGCTTAGTACTTCTGAGGTCCAGTAAGACTGCTGCATATATTAATAATTCATCATTTGTTACTGCTGGATAATATTCCATTGTGTGGATCCACTGGAGTTGGTTCAGCTCTGTACTCTTTGAAGGAGCCTGGAGTTGTTCACAGGTTCTTGCTACGGTAAATAGAAGTGCTGTGAACTCGTATGAACACAAGTACTGTGGTTAGACCCAGCATCTCCCAAAAGTTCTATGTATAGAGGTTTCCAGGGTGGTGCTATTAGGAGCTGTGATGGGAGGTCCTTAAGTCATGGAGAGGGAATCACTAGAAAGTGAGAGGGGCCCTGGTGTCTCTCTCACTCTCTCTGGAGGTGAACTCTTTCTCCCACGTGTGCTTCTGTCATTTTGTGTGTCCCTCTCTGAGGTCCAAGCCAATGAGGCCAGCTGGTCTCAGACTTGGACCTCCGGAACCAGAAGCCAAAAGATACCTCCCTTTGCTTCAGAAATAGCCTGAGTTTGGTTTGTGGTTATAGGGACAGAAAGCTGACTAATAATAACAAAGTTTATTTTTCTGGGGGGTAAACGTCCAGGATAGCACCTTCTGGGTCACGCGGTAACTACATGTTTAGTGTTGTAAGAAACTGCTCAAGTGTTTTCCAGAGTGGCTGTGCCATTTTACATTTCCACAAGCAGTGTATCAGACTGTCACATTCTCCACATCCTCATCAGCGTTTGGTAGTATCATTATTTTTTAATCCCTTAATAGATGTATAGGGCTATCTTCATTGTACCTTTAATTTTTAACTTGCATTTGACAAATGGTTAATGACGTTGAGCACTTTTTCATGTGCCTATTTGCCAGGCACATCTCCTCTCTTGTGAAATATCTGTCCAAGTTTTGGGCCTATATTTTATTTAGATTTTGTTTTGTTTTATTTTACTGTTGAGTTTTGATAGTTCTTTTATAATTTTATATATGAAACTTTGTTGGCTGTGTGGTTTGCAAATATTTCCTCCACTGTGTAGTGGTGTTTTCATTCTTTTCCCAGGATCTTTCACAGCACAAAAGTTTTAAACTGGTGTGGTTCAGTTTATTAACTTTCTCTTTTACAGACTGTGATTTTGGTGTTGTGCTAAGAAATCTTTGTGTAGCCCTAGCACTGTAGATAACCTCTTCTGTTACCTTCTGAAAGTTTCCATACTTTACTCCTGAATCTGTGCTCCATTCTGAATTATCCTTGTATATGGTGTGAGGTTTGGCTTGAGGTAGGCTTCTTTTCATTCCTAAAATTTGGAGCAGGGTGGTATCTCAGATCAGTCAGGATATTGCGAATGACCTGCTAACCACTTGTGCTGTTACTTGGAAAATACAAAGTTCTACTCTTACAACAAAATAAATTCTAGATGTCTCCAAGATGTAAGACACAGACAGGCAGAAAAACATTTTAACCACATATCTCATAAAAGAAATGCTAATCAGAACCACATTGAGATTCTGCTTTTGCACCACTCACATTGGCAAATGTTAAAAAAGAATAAGGATGACATCTAACATTGGTGGGAATGTGGAGGAATCATTGTCCATAACAAATTGCAAGAAGAGTAAATCAGTTGTGTGTATTCCGATGACAACTTGACGGTATCTTTCACGGTTAAAACACCCATTTGATGCGTAGAGACTTGCCTGAGAACCTCATGAATACACAATGTACAACTTAGCAACATTCCTCAGCTTGGTCAGAGGCTAGTTGCAAAATGTGTTACAGAACGAACTCATTGTGTTAAAGTTATCTACAGCTATTTTACAAATCTAGGAGGAGATATACACACATTTTTCTACAGAGCCTCTGCTGAGTGAGATGGAGAGAGGTTGAGGGAAGAACAAGGTGAGAGTGGAATGGATCACATATCTTCATACACATTTAAAATTGTTTAACTTACAAATCTAGAGCTAGATCCATCTGGGCCCTTCTTCTCCACCATGACCTTCACAGGTCTCAGACTGGAGACCCAGCTCAGTACCTGACCTTGTCTTGTTTTGTGTTTTCTTCCCTCTGTGTTTTGCATTTGGGCTCTATGGACAGGTCCTCTCCTTTAGTAGAGTCTAAGTTCCATGAGAAGGGGCTAGTCCTCCTATTTGTGCCATTTCTAATGCCTTGCTTGGCTCTTGGCACACAGAGGGTACTTCCTGAATGTTTGCTAGCAGAACGTCCAGCTGTAGTTACTCTGAGGCATCTGGCTGGCTGGTGGAATTAGCTATGTGGGAACCACAGAGTCCCAAGGCAAGTCATAGAGGGAAGCAAGTCACCCTTGTCCCTTGCTGCATTTATGCAATTTAAATTAGTTGAAAATGACCAAGGACAACCAGAAAGATATGAAGGGGCTACAGTAGGGAGAATAATGGCCCCCAAGGTGTCCCCTTCTGATCCTAGAATCTATGGATAATGCATTGTAGATGGCAAAGGTTGCAGATGTTATTTTGAATTGTCCAGAAGTAGTCACAAGGCAAATGTGCAGGAGAGCCAGAGCGAGAGAGGTGTAGCAACTGGACAATTTTAGAAAGAGAGGACATGAGAAAGTCTCATCTGGCTGGACCTGGCTTGGCGGCTGAGGAGGGGCTATGAACCAAGGACTACAGGCAGCATCTAGAAGCAGGGAAAGAAAAAAAGCAATCTTCTCCCTGGGCTCCAGGAGGAGCACAGCCCCACCAGTGTCTCCATATTAGCCCAGTGAATTCCTGTGTGGATTTCTGACCTCCGTCACAATAGGGCAATGAATCTGTGTTGGTTTAAACAACAACTGACTAATTCTGGGTAATCCATCACTGCAGCAAAAAAAAAAATGAAAAAGGAGACATGAGGATCACAAACTCAAAGGTAGCCTGGGCAATTCACCAAGACCCTGTCTCAAAATGAAAAATTAATAAGACTGGGCATGTAGCTCAGTGGTGGATTCCCCGAACTGGGGGGTGGGGAAGAGCAGCAGAAGTGATGAGATAGAGCTCACCAGCTCTGGCTTCGTTGTGCAAATATGAACTTTTAAAAAATGGGACTCGTGGCCCCATTCCTTCGTTAAAGGGGTTCTCTTTGTATATTTTCTTCTAGACTTCAGCTGCATTCAGTTGTGAAATTTGTATAATTTTATATCTTTTTCTTCCTCCCCACTTCATATTATACATGAGCATTTATAATTTATAATTTACAATATCTCCCTCTATTACAGATTTAGAAACCATGGAAGTCCAAAGACAATTTAGAACTAGAAGCGACTTCAGGATCATCAAATATGAGATCTCTTGCTTTTCTAGGATGGAACCTAGGAAAACTCTGTCTAGACCATAAACCTGTAACTGGAAGCTGAGTGAGGTGGGCAGCTGAACAGACTTGGGACTGGAGAATCTGAATCATTTCGGCGGGCTTTGGCCTATTGGCACTGTTATTATTTAGGTTGAAATCGAATGTGGTCATAGGTGGGGCTTTTGGAAGGTGATTGTGTCATGGGACTTCTATGCTCATCCGTGGATTCGTCCATAGATGGGTTCATAACCGAATGTGCCACTAGGAGGGGTCCTGGTTGAAAGAGGTGTGGGGAATAACTGGGAAGGATGTATTCTTGTCCCCGCATCCTACTCCTCTCTCCCTCTTTCACCCCACCCTCTCTTTCCCTTTCTCTGTCCCCCACTCCTGGCCACCATGAGATGGTTGAGCTACTTTCCTCCACATGGCCTCCCATCGCACCTTTTGTGCCTCAGACCCAGCTGACCATGCATGCACTGAACCCTCTGAAAATGTTAGTCAAAATAAACCTATCCTTTTTATATCACAGGTGTCAGGCATTCCGTCCTAGTGAAGGGAAAGTGGATAACACAGGCACGATCCCCACTTGTGCAGGGCCTGGTTCTAGGGTGATTTGGGGAAGGGGACTGTTGGCTTAGAGTATGTAAGTTGAAGAAAGG